GATCTTAAGTTAATAGTGTCTTTCTGGATAGCATAGGAAAGAAACACATACAAGAAGAGGGAAGAACAGAAAATGGACATTTGGAGGAAAACAGACTCATTAGCATAATAGATCTTATAAATGCTTTGAGTTATATAAATGATTTAGGTCTACTATTCTGCTATCAATTCTAGTATCCCGTTAAATATACATAAAATTTTAAAATGATGGAACTCAACAACTAAATGTAACCACCTAGGGAATGCAATATGACCTTAGCATTTGACAACATTTCTTATAATAATTCATTATTTATATATATCACACAAGTACCTTTCTAATGTGGATGCCATTGGGCCCCATTCCTAGGAATTCTGATCCTAGTTTTATTTGAGAATAGGAATCTTTGTAGCTTAGAATTGGCAGCAATTTTATGATAGATGTGACGGAAATATTTGATGTGAGGAATCCTGCCTTAGTTTAGTTTTATTAAGTCCTTAGAGCATTTAGTAAGATGAAAAAAAAAAGCCTGGGAGTCAAATCACACTGCAATTTCTCTGTGTGGTTGCAAGGAATTCCTAGTTAGTGACAATAGTACAGAAAACCTGGCACTTGTCCTAATTAATTGGACTGAGGAATAGTTGTTAGCGATTCTCCAGAGTGGGAGTCCCAAGGGCTACTCTAGGTTTAGATGTAAAAGCTAAGAAGTTCCTATTGTACCCTGTTTACTGAGAAACAGGAGGGAGATGGCCTGTTTCTCTGTAGCAAGTGAGTTGTTTCATGGTTTTTGTGAAACAGCAAAAATATTATTTTCATGAAATGATAACTGGGCTATTTTTTATTTTAATTTTTATATTAAGTCATGATAACTATTCTCTAAATCTGAACCCAAAATCATTAAAGAAAGAAATTAATAATCATGGGAATATTTGGACTTATTAGCCATCGACAGTCATTTCACAGAATATAAAATGAACTTTCTACGAGTTAATGGACATCCACCCATATCCTCTTTATTTTTACATTAAGTTAGTATATAACCTTTTCTAAAACTTGACTCAGTGAGTCATAATACATATATAAATACAACTTTCTGGGTAGTACTGATACTACTTTAATTTGATCGTTCTTGGAACTTCTAAACATATTTTTGTTGTTGTTGTT